TGGACACCTGGGTCAGGGTGCAGAGGGATGAGGTGCACGGGGACAGGGTGCACAGGGATGGACACCTGGGTCAGGGTGCAGAGGGATGAGGTGCATGGGGACAGGGTGCACGGGCACAGACACACCCGGGGACAGACACGCAGGTGTGTGCAGAGGGCTGGGGTGTGCGGGGACAGGGGACACTGCAGGGGGTGCCTGGGGACCGGCGCCAGGGTCAGGGTGCTGGGGGACAGGCTGTGCACGGGGCACAAGGCGGGGGCTGCCAAGAGGTTTTTACATCTTTATTTGAAACGAATGGTTTCCAGAGACACAGGGTTAGTCCTACCGCCCTGTTACCACTACAACAAGACTGGTGAGCGGCTCACTCTCCACATGGACACAGAGGACAGGGGCCCCAACAATATTTACAGGCTCAACAGACAGTGCCGAGACCCATGTACAGCTCAGGAAAACCCAACAGGACACGAGGAGCGGGAGGGGGACAGCGAAGTCGGAGCCAAGCTGGCCCCGTGGGCACGGCCAGGAGGAGGAAGGCTGCACAGAGCTGCTCTTCTGCCTCTCCCCCCAGCTCCTTGCAGCGCTGCGAGCAGCTTGCAAAGGGCTGAGGGGGGACATGAGGCTCCTTCCCCACCCCAGGAGCTGTGGGGGGCAGCCGTGGGCACAGGGCGGCCCGGGCCCCATGTCCGGCAGTGGGCTCTGCAGCCTGGGCAAACACGGACAACACGAGGGACGCTGCAGCACGGCTCCAGCGCAGGCCATGCACCCATGGGCGCCCGAGGGCAGCGCTGCCCCTCCCCAGTGCCCATCCTCACCTTCGCCCCTGCTGTGGGCCCATGCGGCAGCGCAGACCCTGTTCCCAAGTGCAGGACCACTTGGGGCTGCTGCTGCCCAACGGTGCAGCTGCGACACCGGGGCCGGGACCCTGCGGAGCGGGGGGACGGGGCAGGGCCCGTGTGCCCCGCAGCCCGGCCACCGAGTGGGGCTCGGCAGGGCTGAGCGCGGAGCAGAGGCCTGGAGCGAGCAGGGGGTGACCGAGCGCGGCCAGGACGAGGGGACGGCGCCGCCGCGGCTCCACACGGCCCCGCGCCGCGCAGCCCCTGCCCTGCCGCCCAGGACGGGGAGGACACTTCCCGGGCCGGAGCGCGGCCCCGCGCTCAGTCCATGTCGTCGTCGAGGCCGCCGAGGCGGCTGTGCTCCTCGTAGATCTCCCTCACGGCCAGGATGCGGTTCAGCATGCTCTCCAGCATGCTCCTGTCCATGGGGATCACCGAGTACCAGAGCGGCGACTCGGCGATGCACGACCGCTCAGGCTGCAGGTAGAAGATGTCGTTGCGGTTCCGCAGGCTCTCGGGGCTGGGGGGAGAGACGGAGGCGAGAGGAAGGTGAGGGGGAGAGCAGCCCAGCCTCGCACCCCTCCCACCTTTGGGGGGCTCCCGCTTGCTCCAGGGGTCTGGCTCCAGCAGGGACACTCACTTGGGACCTAATTCCTCGGGCAGCCGAGCAGCAGTTGCAGACTGGCTGCCTCCTGCTTGGGAGGCGAGGAGTGGAAGGACCAGGGAACTGTTTCCTCAGCCACAGGGATTGAGCAGTACAGACCCCAGGCAAGCCTGACCCTCAAGGCCTAATTCGGCACGTATGGAAAGCAGCAGCCACTCCACAAGGTCCCACTGAATGGCACCCCCCAAAGGAGTGATGTGCCATGTCCCAAGAGAGCCTCACCATTTGGAGAGATAAAATTCATAGAACTTGACTGGGCATCGGAGAGGGTTCATCCGGTTCTCCCGCTGCTCCAGGACCGGCGTCTCCTCCTCGCGCTTCCGCTTTGCGGAACCACCCTCTGCAGAGGGGGACAGGAGAGGATGAGGGCAGGGACAGCACAAGGGGCGCAGGGGACGGGCACGCAGGGGCTCACGCGGCCCCTACCTCGGCCTTTCCTCTGCTTGGCCGGAGCGTAGTAGCGGATGCTCACGACCTTCGCCACGCCACGCGCTGTGCTGCACTTGCGGGACTGGCGCACCACGTTGGTGAAGGACAGCTGCATGTGCTCCTCCGCTGTCTGCAGCCCGAAGAACTTGGTGTTGAAGAACATGAGGGTGTTGAGGAGCACAAAGGGTGAGTAAACGCCCAGCTGCTTGCATTCCCAGAGGTGCTCCTCCTCAACACGTGAGAAAACGGCGTCTGCAATACACAGGGCAACAATCCGGTCGCACCCACAGTGACCTTGTGCAGGCTCCAAGCTCTCGCAGGGGGAACTAGAGGAATGATTTGCCTGCCTGGGATCCCGCTCCACACATCCAGGGAACGGGGGCTTGCAGCTCTCCTTTCTCCCAGGCAAACAAGCTCAGCTGAGCAGCACAAGCGAGTTGCACAACACTGAGTTCATGTGCACAGGGCAGTACTGCGGAGCCAACAGCTCTGGGAGGCTGCTTCTCCAGAGGCATCACAGATGATAGTGGTTCTGCCCAGCTACGAACCATCCCAGAACATGGCCAAAGCATGGGCAGCAACCCAGATCAATGCTAACAAATTATCCATATGAATGTCCCCGGAATGAACTCCAGGTCAGTGCTCCACCACATTCAGGGGGAGATAAAGGAAGAGCAGAGGGAAGGACAGACACAGCCAGCCCCTGTGTAGGTACACAGGCTTGAAGCCAAAAGCATCTTCCTGGAACAGCCAGGTGGCAGGGAAGGTGGACTAACCATGGGCAAGACACCTTGGGAGAGGGAGCCCAGTATCCCCAACAGCCTCTGCAGAGCTCTAAGGTGATTTGCACGTAAGGAAGACAGGCAGCAGCACAGCAGCCCTGCCCACAGCGCGCAGGCTCGTCCAGGGGCTGGGAATGAGAAGCGGGCACAGGTCACGAGGCCTCCTGGCTTGGCCTCCTCTTTGCCAACGGCTGAGACACCGCTGTGCCAGGACACAGAGCAGCCACGCTCTGATCCCAGCCACCTTAACGCAGGGCAAGAGCAGCTGCTGGGGTGTAAACCAGACGGCTCTGCTGCTGCTGCTGTGGGTTGTGAGCTCATTATGTCCCCAACACACAGCAGGACAGTGAGCTCCGTGTCAAGGAAGAGCACGGCTGGGGAGCACAACCAGACCAGGAACCAAGGCCAGGGGCAGAAACTGTGCGTGTGTTTGGCAGCTGAAGGTAATCTGGAGACACATACTGTTTGGTAAGATTGTGGGTTGCCAGCCACTCAGGGACTTGTTCAGCTCCTGCACGAAGGTCAGGTAGTAAAGGTCTGTAAATATATTCACCATACGATTGTTCTCGAGCAGGTACTAGAAAGGACAGAACACACAGTCAAGAGAGACACGGCAGCACCTGGGGCGCAAACCCTCCCCAGAGGGCCCAGAGAGCAGATGAGCCATCCCTGCACAGCCAGCGCCGCAGGGGCGGACTCGGAGCCTGGCAGAGCAGCCCTGGAAGAAGGGACTGACTCTGGGGAGATCTCCCAGCCCTCCTCAAGGACGGGCATCAACAATGCAAGGTCAGGGAAGAGCTGCCACCTTATCTGCTAGGGCTGGGGACAGAGACTGAACCAGCTACGTTCCTATCTTGGGGTGAGGCATTGAAGATGGGGAGTTAACAAACCTCTCTGGGTTTCCAGAAGGCAGAATAAAGACTATTGGCTCCCGCCACCATATCCGAGCCCCAGGTTTGTTGAGGAGCTGAGGGCAGCAAGCCCTCCCTCACCTGCTGAATGCCAAGGCAGAGGTAATAGATGCTGTCTGGTTCATAGCGCTCCCCATTAGGCCGTGTTATTTCCTTGACAAACTGGGCCAGGCCGTAGTTGAGCTCAGCGGCGGTGCAGGCCAGGATGTCCTCCTTGATCCTCATGGGCTTGGCTGCGGAGGCAAGCAAGGCAGCCTCAGGCAAGAGCCTGCAAGGCTGGTGACACCT